CGATGAAAACATTCGGTGTGGGAATACCCAGCACACACACCTCAGGTCGGTGAGGTCCGTGCACCCAACACACCCGTCCTCCTTCATCAAAGGCTCTGTGCCCAGCCGACCTGCTTCCCATAGCACACCAGTCAGGCTGCCGCTGCGCCGCCGAGAGCACAACACGCCCGAGCGTGGCTGCGGCCAGCCAGCGCGGACAGAAGCAGGCGGGTATGCGCCGCTTGGGACCGCGTGTCTGCACCGGCGAGCGGAGGCCACTGACCGGGGTGGGCGGCACCCGTGGGCAGAGTGACACCGTGCGTCTCCACCAGACTGATGACCTGGTACAGGGTCGAGTCGGAGCTGAGCGCCCGCAGCGCCAGCCGGCCAATGGTCTGCAAGACACGGACACGGCAGACATGACGAACGGCTCTCTGCCAGACACGCACACGGCAGGCATGGTGAAGAACGACTCTGTCAGACACGGTAACGGCAGGCATGGTGGAACGGCTCCATGCCAGACACGCGCAGGGCAAGCATGGCGAAGACCGGCTCTCTGCCAGGCACGGAAACGGCAGGCATGGAGGTGAGCGGACTTCTGCCAGAGATAGACACGGGAATCAGGCGACAGTGATATTATGTTAAGAATGGACACGATCTTGGACGGCCGACGTGCAGTCAAAACATTTCTGGACAATGCTGCCCCGTTAAGTAGCCATCGCTCGGGGAGTGCAGGTAGGCCAAAAAACGGCCGATGCACGCAAGGTACGGAAGGGGGCACGGTCTTGATTAACTAAAACAAGGCAAGCTGCGTTGGAAACATTAACTGAAGAGTCGCGCGAGGCGATCACTATATCCGCCCTTCCCGGCGTCCGTCATAAGCACGGCAGCGGGGCGTCACTTACCCGCCGTAGCTCACTGTCCTGCTCCGGCGGAGAGCTGGCGTCCGGCCGGAGCTCACCGACGTCACCGTCCGGGGTCGGCGTCGTCGGTCCAGCTCCACCACCCACCGGCCCTGGCACCGGCTCTGCGCCATCGCCCACCGGACGATGACCCGTGCCTTCGCCGCCGCCCGTCAACTCTGGCAATGCCTCCGGGTCGTCACAAACCGACTCTCGCATCGCCTCTGTTCCACCTGCATCCGGATCCGTCACCGCCCCCGCACCACCGTCCACCGGCTCTTGCGTCGCTTCTCCGCCGCAGTCAGCCGTCTCTCGCACCGCCCCCGCACAACTCCCCGCCAACCTTTGCACCGCCTTCGCACCCCCGTCCAGCTGCCCTGGCGTCGCCTCTGCTCCGCCTGGCGGCTGACGCCGCTCGGCGCAAGCCGACTCCGAGGAGGCGAGCTTCCAACTCGTGATGATGGGTGCCGAGTCGGCCACGGCCGACGCGAGCGGACAGGGCTCGACGGGCGCGTGCTCCAGCGCTAGCCGCACGCCCTGCAGCTCGGTCGTCAGCTCCACCTCGCTCCGCAACCGCAGGAACACCGGGCTCTCGCAGTCCGGGTAGGTCTGAGGAAGAAGTCCCGGTCAGAGGTGCCGCCGCTACCACAGCACGAGACACCTCGCAGGATAACGCATTTTGTCATGCCTGACGACGAGCAGTGGCGCCAAACCTTGCTGATTGCAGCACATTGCAGCATTGCTCGGGTGGAGCGCTGCTGAAAGTGTAAGGTACCAAGCGGGACATCTGCCAACACAACTATCCCGGGACGGTAAAAAAGGAAGGAAGAACCGAATTTAGAAACTGCAAGAGTGGAAACAGCGCCGAGCACCAAACCGCTGAACAAAGTCACCCGAACTCAGCCAGCCAGCCAACTGAAACTGCGCAGAGAGTCGACTCCATCCCAGATCTCCCCAGAGTCCCACGAATGAGACTTCACCGCTCAGCGCGGCTACTAGCCCTGCTCTGCACCCTCGCGGCGGCGTCCGGCGACAGCCTGGAGTTGGAGGAGCGTCTCCTAGAGCCGCCGCGGCTGGGCGCGCGGCTCGAGTTCGACGCGGCCTCGGGCGCCACGCTGGCGCACTACGTGTCGCGCCAGCGGCGCAGCTACCGTCTGCGGCCGCCAGAGATGTTTGGCCCGCCGAGCAGCGCCGCTACCGGCACCGGCTGCGGCGCATCCGGCAGCGCGGCTGGTCAGCCGGCCGCCGGCTGCGCCGCGCGCAGAGTCGCCAGTTCCGCGGCGCCGTGTCGGGACTTCTGCGTTCCTACCGCGGCCTGGTGCGGCTCCTGGTCGGACTGGTGAGGCCGGCGCCGCTCGGCGCCGGCGCCGAGCCAGCGTCGGCCGTCAACGCCTCCGAGACGGCCCCGCACGGCATGAGTGGGGAGGGCACGGCCGGGCCGACGGCCGCGCCGGCGCTCGCCGTGTCACGCGGAGCCGGCGGAGCGGTGCTGACGCCGACGCCGTCTCCGGCCGCCGCGCCGCAAGCGCCGCCGGGCGCCGACCTGACGCCGGCGCCGGGCCCGGACCCAGCGTGGACCCTGGTGACACCCGACCCGCCGCTGGACGCTGCCGACGCCGCGGCCGTCGGTAAGCTCACCCACTTCTTCGGCGCGCTGCTGGATGGTGGCGACGAGCTGCGGGAACGGCTGACGCGAGCGCCCACCAACGCGTCGCGCGAGGCCAGGCAAGTCGCACGGCACGCCTTCGAAACGCTGTGGGCGCGCGTAACGGCCGGCGGAGACAAGCCGGCGGCGGCTGCCGGGGGCGAGGAGCGGCGCGCCGCCACCGTCCTCTGGAGCCTGATCGAGCAGTTTCTGGACACGCACGACGAAGCCAGCACGCCGCGACGCGAGAAGCGCGGCCTGGACCTGGCCGGCGTCCGCGCCTGGCTCATCTCCGGCGCGGAGGGAGAGGGCGAGGACGTGGCGGCGGCCGTCGGTCGGCTCGTGCGACAGTTTACCACGGATGAGAGCGAGGGCGGCGGCAGGGTGGCCGGCACCCTGGGCAACGTCGGCGTCAACTGGACAGCGATCGGCGAGTGGCTGGCGGAGGCCGCGTCCGAATTCGACGACTTCGACGGCGACGGCGGCGATGAGGACTCGTGGGCCTGGGGGCGTCTGTGGCGGCAGATTGTGGACGACAATCAAGAGGGCATGCCCGGCACCAGGTTTCAAGCTCCATTCGATTGGCTTTCAGTGTATCAGACGTTTGTTCAGCTGTTTTTTGCGCATCCCAATGGCACACGTGATTCCCAGTATCTGGGTCTATTTTCACCAAGGTGAGATAGCACCACGCGTGCGATACTGTACTTAATCATGGTTTGTCTCATCATAAAGCTCAGGTTTCTAAATGGTTTATAATTGTCATGCTACCATTGCTGATTTCGATGTTGTCCACATGCCTGCAAATGTTTCACAGCAGATACTCTAAATGATTACAATATGTCTGCGTTTTGAGTGTGTGAAGTGCCTCGTGCATTAGAACAGAACACAACTCACATCAGTACACTTAATGATCCACCACCCAGTCACACTATGGTCTTTTTTAGCGCGGCAAGGCCACACGCTTGGAACGACAGCATCACACCTATGAGAACAGCACGCGAGGGGACTGGGTCGCCTTCACTCAACACGCCCATGAACGCTCCAGGCACTCCGCCTCCAGCCACCCCGGTCTCCGCACGGGTTCAAGCGGTCCTACGTCTTCCGCGCACGCTCCAAGGCGCCACGCTGGCTCGGGAAGCGCCGCCTCTCGCCGCCAGACGGCGCGCCGCGACGCTACCACCGCCGCCGCCGGGGTCACCGGGACTCGGCGCGGTCCAGGTCGTCGCGGCCGTTCAGTGCTGGGCCGGCTGGGCCTGGGCGCGCTGGTGAACCTCACGAGCAGTCTGGACCTGGAGCAGGCGTCGGCCGACGCGCTGGCGCAGCTCGACAAGCTGCGGCGGCGCGTGCTGCCGACAGACGCGCCGCCCACCAGCGCCGCGCCCCCCAGCCGGCGCACCTTCCGCTGGCGGCCCCGGCCGGTCCAGCTGCGAGGCACCACACTAGCATGGTGGCGGCGCCGGCGCGCGACGACTACGTGTACGACTACGAACAGTGGGAGTATGAGTACTTCCATGCGCCGCCCACCACCACCGAGCGTACGACCCCGCGGCAGGCGGGCCATGGAGAGCGCGGCACCCACCAGCCCGCCCACCACCGGCAACCCCTAACCAGACCGTCATGCTGCAGAGGTGAGCGGGGCGCAAGGGCAACTTGTTATGAGCTGCGGCTTGTTCTATGAGGCCCAGCCATTCTTCGGTATCGACCGAGGCCGAGTGAACCGGGACAGACAACGGCCGACGTGGTTTTCACAACATAATTACTCACTGCCACCCATTACGCACACCTTCAAACTACCATTTTCACCCCTGAATAACATCAGCACCTTGGGTAACATTACTACCACAAAACATCCCCTAACATTCCACAGGGGCGCGCACCACCTGGTTCACCAGGCGCCCCTGCATCCAGAGCGCTAACATATAGACGGTGTAATATGTGCCTCGACCCCGGCGACTAACCGCGGCCGATCGCCGCCCGCCGGTTCGCCGAGTACCCGCCCAACCGCACCGAGGCCGGCCAGCGCGTGGCCAAGATCTTCTGGAGCCACTGGACCCAGCTGAAGCCACACTGCATCAGCAACGTTAGCGCAAGCGACAGCTACGCGCGCCAGGTGCGCCGCGCCGGCTGCGCCACCGTCAAGCTGCTGTTCGGCGAGGGCGACTGGGCGTCCGTGAAGCTGTCGCTGAAGGCCGTGTTCGGCCCCATCTTCACCGTGGCGGTCATCATGACGATTGCCTGGCTGCTGTGCGGTGAGTGAGGCAGGCGACGCTGGGGCCCGGGGGAAGTGTTGGGTGGCGACGGTGAGGGTAAGGTTCAGCCTGCTCAGATGGGATGAGATACAAGCTAGCAGACGTTGCGCCGGGAAGAGCATGTATGAGGATGCGTAAACGCTGCAGCTGAATCGTAGATACTGCTGAGCGTCCCGATGCTACTTGGGTTCAATACGTTTGTTTCCCTTGAATCTCGCATGATCAGATCGAACGACCAGGGTCAAACAGATAGTCATGAACGGCCTTGCATATCACAGAAAAGGGATTACGGCAAATGACGGGAACGTGCTGAGAGAACAGGATTTCAACAGGATAGCAAAAACAAGCTGAAATGCAAGCATGAAAGCGATCGACAGGAAAACGTTGGCGGACCCCAAGAGTCTGCTGAGCTGTCCCGCGACGATGATCCACATTCTCATTCCGCTGACCTGTGACCCGATAGTGATCCAGACCCAGCCCGCAGGAGGGTGCGTCAGCCGCCAGCGCCCGCCTGCTGACGCCTGCCGCCAGCGCCCGTCTGACGCCTGCGCCTGCGCCTGCCGCCAGGCGCCTGTAACGTGTGCCAGTTCTGCCCGTGCGCCTGGTGCAACCCGTCCCAGCTGCGCGAGGCCATCTGCGACCTGATCAACCGCGCCATGCCCGGCCTGCGGCTGTACAAGGACGGCACCATGGAGATGTACGTGCCCAGCCAGGACGAGACGGACGCCTTCCAGGACCTGGTCGACGCCATCATGGACTTCAAGTGAACGGCGCGCCAGGGGACGTCGGCGAGTGACGTCGGGCGGACACACACGACGGAAATGCAGGAAGGATAGGAAGGGGAAGAGGACCAGCTCAATGCAATGACGCGGTCCGTGAACGAGCTGGTTCGAGAAGACGGCAGCAAAGCCCGTTTAGTCCGTGGAACTGTGGCGAAATAGACGCTCCAGCCAATGCAAAGACATAAAGCACCTTCGTTGCTGCGGCGATAGGTGCGCACAGGCCATGCAACCAACACCATTCGTGTGAGTACAATGTAGCGTATGTATGCAGTAGCCGCAGTTGCAGAATGTGACCAATGTATGCTGGTAAAGCAAGCATGTGTTCAATGCGAGCTTTCACGCTCATCACCGCAGAACGCTTGCCGGTGAAGCCTGGGCGATTCCTTTCTCACCAATTGGCTAAACCAAGTCATACACCGGCGGGTACGTAACCGTGTGTAACGGCGAACCTCGGGCATCACACGACAGAAGCGTGACAGGGCATGCGTCTGGAGGACTGCTGCAGTGCCAGTACGGAGAATATGGGTGTTGTCTATGACCGGGCATGAGACGGATGGTAGTTCAGGGACGCGCGACTGATGCAAGAGCCGTGGTTTATTCACGCAGTCGTGGTCGTGTAGTCAGGTCAGCATACGTGACAGCAGGTCTGTTCACGTATGTCTGCCGAGCCAACAAGTGTCTTTGCCTCGATACATCAATTTATATATATATATATATATATATATATATATATATATATATATATATATATATATAATCTGCGTGCGTGCGTGCGTGCGTGCGTGCGTGCGTGCGTGCGTGCGTGCGTGCGCGTGTGCGTGTGTGCTCGTCTCTGTCTCTAGCGAGACACCACAACGTGCATCCAGCCCCGACTACAAAGGATGTGAGGTGTTTCAACGTGATGACAGTTTGTTTTCAACTGCACCGTTGTTACCAACAGCAAACACGAGATACCGTTTGGCGATGAACGCTGGATGTTGCACTCACAGCTGCAAAAAAGGAACCTTGGCGCATGGCGCGGTGCCATCCCAGCACATAATGTTTTGGCATGGATTACGCGCAAGCAAGTATGAAACATCCCGTGGCATTCCACCCACAAAGTAGAGGGCAAGGAAGTAACATGAAAGAGACAAATCACACCCAACATCTTCATATGAATGCGACAAGAGTACAGACAAGCGGCGTGGCGAAATCGCAAGGACGGCGTTACGTGACGAGCACGGCCGGCAGCGAGCCGGCGGCCCGCCGGAAACACCACTCACCCGACTGATGCGGCGCGCGTGCTGCAGCCAGCCTCGGTGCCAGCAGAGCGACAGCAGCGTGTCGGCAGGGCGCGCGCAGCAGCGCCGTCAGCGGCCAGTCGGGCGCCAGCGGCGCCAGCGCGCGCAGCCGGCACCGGTGGCGCGACACCAGCGACGAGAGCCTGCCGCGGCGGACGCCGTCAGGGCTGGCGGCGCAGCGGTGTCCGCTCACCGCACACGAGACGACTGCAGATGGCGCTCGGAGGGGGGGGGGAGGGGGGGGGAGCAGCCGGTCGAATTTTAGCAGTGGACCGGAGGGGTCGATTGCTGACGAGTTTTGAACGAAGGACGGTAAAGTAGGTGTAGTGGCTGGACACATCAGCGTGATGTCTAAACAGAAACATCAATCAGACGGCGAAACGGAAACATCAATGGCAGGGCTAAACAGTGACATCAATAGGCAAGCGAAACGGAACACCCATGAGAGAGCTAAACAGAATCACGAATACATGGAGATGTTGCTGTCCCGACTGTTTACGTGCGTGGCACCTGAAACATCTTATGCGTTTTTCGCGCCAACCGCGGTCTCCGGAGGCATGTTTAGACTCCATACATAAGCTCTGTTGACCCTCGGATCAACTCATTGGGATCGATGCGGGGTTTGAGACCAATTATCCGAGCCGGGGTGGCCGTCAATATGAAAAACCGATTTCAACTTTGCGTTTATGACTACAAGAAACGCAAACCACCCACCACAGCGACACCTCATTCACTCTCGTCGAAGCCACGGGAGTAGCCCCTGCTGGGTCAGTGATCAATTGCATCGGGTCGCAGTCTGCTTTGATGCTCCTCACAACACAGCTGCGTCCCCATCTGTCCAGGCGCCCGCGTGGTCCGGAGGCGGCCGACCGGCGGCGCCTGCCCGCGCCTCACCGTCGCTGTCGGCGTCCGAGCTCTGTGGCCTCGTCGGCCGGCGGCAGGAGGCACAGGTGCTGCCACAGCAGGGCGGTCAGCGCCTGCTGGGCCGGCGCCGCCAGAAGCAGCGGCCGCCCGTCGGCCGACGCCGCGGCCCCGGCGCGCTCATCGGCGTCCGACTGGTCCACGTCTGAGGCCCGCAGTGGCAGCACGCAGAACACCACCTCCAGCAGCTCCAGCCTGCGACGGCCGGCCGACGTGAGAGGCGGCGCCGTCCGACAGACGGGGAGAGGGGGTGGGGGAGGGGGGTGTCGTGTGCGGTACCTTCGCCGACGGGGACTGAGACCCTGCTGAGGTCATCATTTCAGCCAACAGTGTGGGAGATTAGCCTGTGTCATTTCTCTTAATTCTGAAGTGTAAACGGCGCTGTCGTTTATTCGGGGCCGCAGGGTCCAATGAATGCACCTTCCTACACTAGCCGTGCCACCAGACCATCAACGCAAAGGCATGCAGCATCAAGTACGTCCGCCCAAAAGCACCGGAACCGGAGCCTCGTCCATTGTGAGCGGCCTCGTGCCGCCGACACCCCACTGCGCTGTCTACTATCCCAGGCGGCGGCCCCGGCCGGAGGCGGACGCCGGCAGGGTGGCCAGCCGCGGCAGGGCCGGGGGACTGAGACGTACCTCATCCGCGGCCCCAGCTGCTCCAGCTGGTCTGCCAGCTGCGCCAGGAGCCGCGGCAGGCCGACTGGCTGCGGCGGCGGCGGCGGCTCCTCACGCCGAGGCCCCGCACCATGCCTGCAACGCCGGCACGCACACTGAGGGCGGGACCGACGGCGCCGAGCACGGCCCGCGATGCCCTCGACGCCCGCGGAGGAGCCCCTCGCGCTGAGCGGCGGCCCACTCAGCACACCGCCGCCCGCAGCCGCCCCGCCTCCCAGGCACGAACACTGGACACGTGACCCCCTGGGGCGCGGACCAGGCGTCAGAAGCGACGCCGGTCGCCTCGCACAAACCCCACTGGACCGGCGGGTGACCTCCTCAGCGCACCCCGGCGCGGGAAACAGGGCCACCGTGATGACACCGGTGGCAGTCACGCTTCACCGGCCGCAGTATCAGACGGGGTCGGGACTGACCTCGTCGCTGGCACCGCCGCCGCGCGGTGACCGGGACGACCTCCGGGACGCTGGAGATAGGGCAGCTCAGTTAGTCTGTGTGGAGCGACCCATTGGCGCGCCTAGAAAACGCTAGGGCACGTCACGATTATCTAGAAGGCGTACAAAACAAAAACAGAGAACGGACCCCAGACAAGGTGTATGCTAACCATGAAATTAACTAGTTCAGTTCGTTTAAGAGCACACCACGACAATCCTAGCGCTGCTTACTATACCGGAAGGATGGAACAAACACACGACAATGCTAAACCATGCCGCAACAAGCGCTACCTAGGCATCACATGACAACGCCAGCGAAAACCCAGCACAACACCCAGACGTGTAGCGGGCGAGAGGCCGAGACGGACCTGCGGGATCGCCGCCGGGCGTCTGTCCGTTCAGCTGGGCGAGCCCCGTCAGCAGGGCGGTGGCGGCCCGGTACGCCCTGAGCGCCTCCAGGTCGGCGGCCAGCACCGCCTCATCTGCGGCGACAGACGAGGGGCGGGCCCACCGCGTCAAACACCAGCCGCCGCCGCCCAGAGGCTCCGCTTCGGGTGCAAGCTCGCCTCCTCGAAGGCACAGTATTCGTGACGTCATGGTGATGTGGCCAACCTGCATTCGCGAACGCCACCTCTCGGGGATTGACAGCGACTGACCCTTACGGCACGGCCTTACCACTGAGCATCATTCTACTTTTCGTCGCCGTCCAGAAGGTCTTCGAGACGTGGATGAAAGTTGCATTTTCAGAGGGCGAATTTCTTATTAGACGTGTGATCGCATGCCGATGCAAAAGAGCGTGACATGTGTTTGTTCAACAGTACAAAAAGCCCACAGGAAGCTTTAAGACAAGACGGAAAATACATGAATGCTTCCTCCACCCAGTATATGCCAACTGTCAGTGAATTATACAGAACACAAGAACCAGCTCAGCGTTATGAAAACTTCACCAAATTTGCTATGATGTTGTCAGACACTGTGCGTCCTCCCCCCCCCCCCCCGCCCCCCCCCCCCCTCCGAGTGCAACTGAAATAGATTGAGTTGCGCATGTATAGGAGCCAAACTCGAATTTCTTGGAATCCTGGCAAGGTAAACACCACATGCTAACAAGAAGCTACAGTACCACATGCTAGCAGGAAGTTACCACCCCTTTCCATTTTCAATGTCATTTTATCCCAGTTTCTTGACATCCGCGCCTTAAATACACCCTTAAATACGACGCAGCCGTCCACCCACTAACACCATCCCTTCCGGAGTTCAACACCGACACCGACAGAGAGCGCTATAGGAGCCCGGGGCGGCCCGGCGCCCGGCTTCCAGGCGGCGCCGCAGCGGGGCCGTAGGCGATACTCACCGGGGTGCAGGCGGTGCTCACTGAGCAGCTGGTCCACGTCGGCCGGGGGGAACGCGCCGCCAGCACAGCCAGCCGCCAGCACGGCCAGCGCCGAGCCGGCGCCGCTTACCTGGCGAGGCGTCGGCGCGGTCAGCCGGGCCGACGCGGGACGGGGGGGGGGGGGGGGGCACAGGGGCGTGCCCAAGCGCGGGACACGAGGGGTTACAGTAGGGCCTGCACGCCAGCTTTTCGTCGTTGTGACCTCTTTTCGTTGTTGTGTATTGGTGTTTTAGGGAGTGCCAACCGCAATGGCCATTTTGCACAGGAGGGGCCCTATCAACAGGAGGTGTCACTAGGATACGGCCATG